CATCACAACATAAACAAGACTCGGTGACATCATCACAACATAAACAACACTCGGTGACATCATCACAACATAAACAAGACTCGGTGACATCATCACAACATAAACAAGTCACACAGACGTTGTCTCTCGTTGTATAAAACATGAAGCAGCAACAGAAAGGGCGAGCGGTGCACAGGTGAAGTCACCTGGTCAGTCCAGAACTAAAACTGGTTTCAGTTTTTAGTTTTCACATCTTCACCTGAACATGGACAAGAAAGAACAAGACGGTGGATCAGCGTGTCTGTTGCTCAAGCTCTGAATGAAAGCTGGAGTTAGTGGCACACACCGTCACAGAACGCACAATAAGTCTTTCATGAGGAAACGACAAGCGTCTGCCAGCGACAGGAAATAAAGATCTTGAAAACAAACACGAGGCTTAGTCCTAATCTTACAGGATTATTCTGAAGCAGCAGCCGTTAATCCAGCGTTCAGGTTGTTAGCTCCGTCTTTTACTGGTTCCTGTTCTCACACGAACGCTGTTTTTCACAACCAACTTCTGAAACAGTTACGAGCTTTTCATCAACAAACATGAGCGGTGGTGCAGAGGTTAGAGAAGGTGGGCCTTTCATCGAAAGGTCGCCAGATCAACTCCCTGGACCAACATCAAAATGCGGGTGGGAACGATGAAGCACCCACACCTGCCCCACTCTGGGCCCTTGAGCAAGGCCTTACCCCCCACCACCTGCTCCGGTGGGCGCCCCACGTCAGCCCTCTGCTCCACAGGCTCAGGTAGCTCGGTGTCTGTGACGGACATCCTGTGTGAAATCAATCAAGTCTTCGTGAGTTCATTCTCTGTGGTGACCCCTGAAGGAGCAGCCGAAACAACAAATATCTTACCTGTTGTGGATAACTCTTTAAAGAGCCTCATTTGGAGAATAAGTAATTTTTGCTGAATAATTGATTTAGTCTGAGTGGGTGGGGCCAAGACCGAAGTGAATTTCTTCAACTTAAAATCTTTCCTGTTCCAAAACCCGAGTTGTTCAGGAAAACATTTGCTCAAACTCTGCATCATTGATTTTACATTTATTTAAAAGAATAACACGGTTTTTGGTAAACACAGAGAACAGTGGCAGCTAGCTGTAGCACTCCCTGTGCAGGCTCAGGTACTTCCAACAGAAATGTAATTTTTCTGACATTAACTTTTATTCAAATGGAATAAATGGCTCCAACAATTAGACTGATCCCATTTGACCTTGGTCCCACACAGACTAGTTGTTAACTCGTCAATCTGGTTAAAATTTAACCAACGTTACAAACGGATGTGGCTCCAGACCCGTCTGGACACAGGTAAGACGCCATTTGTTCACAATAACTCCACAAAACCCTCTTAAAAACATTTAATCTGTCCCTTCATCAATCAGTTTCTAGAATAATGCAGCAAATGTTGAGCAGAAAAAAGAGAAATTATAGTAAAAAAAAACTTTAACTACGAGAAAGTATTTGTTGATTTGTTGTTCTCTGCGCGTCCCGACACAAACTTCCTCTGATCCAACGGTCCTTTGAGTTCAGATTATCTTCACAACGTGCACCGTACTTTGGCCGTACACGTCGCATCCGTCCAAAAATGTCTAATAAAGTGGAAAAAACAAAAACAAGCCGCTTCGCCGTAAAAGTCGCATCTACTCTGCGTCAAAAAACGTGGGCCGGTGTTGTGCCAAAAATCAACTGGCTGCTAAATGAGGCCGCGGGAGCGTGCACGGGAGCACTTTAACAAGATTAACACTTAAAACAATTATTTGTTTGCTCCACATTATAGTAAAGTTGTGTCTCAGTTTAACTTTTCCTTAATAAATTCACGTTAATGGTCAAATCAGCTGAATTTCTCCTGAGCGTTGAAATGAAGCTGATTTGACGTTTGTTCCAGGAGCGAGACCAACGTGCTCCGTACGGCAAGCCAAGAGTCTCATTAATATCCATTTCACCTATTAATGACACACTTGGCTTGCCATATAGGTCCAGGGCCCTCTAGTGGCTGAAAATGGTAGTGCTGAATATTTTCAGTCAGAATGAAACCGTGGCGTCTCAAACATCGAGTTATAAATATGAAGAAAAACAAATGCGTTGCTTCGCCGTACACGAAGCAGAGCATGCCAATTTATGCAAAAAGATGCGACTCGTACGGTGAAAAGTACGGTAGTATAAAAATGGGGTCACAGTGCCAAAGGATTAGTGCACGTGAAGGTGCTGCACTGATGGATCACATGGATTAATCATCCACACAAGAACTGAGTCGTGTTTCAAGCCGACGCCGAGTTAAAATAAAAAACATTAAAGAGTGAGAATAAAAACTGTTCAACATGAACTCGTTTGCTCCTTTAAGGATAAATTTCAGTTCTGAGGTTGAAGCGACACAAATATAAAAGATCAAATAAAAAACGTTCTGTTTCTCCTTTCTGGAAGGTTCTGAGGCACAAGGGGGACGACCTCCTTTTAACGGGAGCAGAAAAGCACGTTAGCTGTTTCGTGGCAGGAATCGCTGAGGGTGCACGTAGGAAGGCAGTGCACGGGAATAAAAAGGCTGAAGCCAGCAGCTGCTTTAAGGGGCTCTGCTCTCCAGCAGAGGCTCACTGGGGCTGACCGGACCGCCTCGTTGACCCACGGGTGTAGGCGGAGTCAGCGTGTAAGGGGGCGGGGCTTCATTGATGCGAACCAAGTCTTCTCCGTCAGGAATGAGAGGAGTGTCCTGGGAGGGACGGGGAGCGTCGGCCTCATCGCTTTGGGTGCACTCGTTGTAGGGAGGGGGCTTCAGATCATCCTCTGAAAAGAAAGGGCAGAGCGGCCATCAGCATTCTTCACCTCTACGTTTACTGAAGCCACAGCGTCCGGAGGACCAAAACAAACGTCTCCACACTCCGTTCAGACCGAGGTCTGACCAGCAGGTCCAGCATCCAAACCTGGTTCAGCTCTCGGTGGTGCCAGCTGCTGCCGAAACGAGGCTGATGAAGGTTCAGCCGGTTTCTTTACGCGGTTTACTTTACGAGCAAGAGACCAACGTAAATAAATGATTGTGAAACGGACCACGTGCACGGTTACAGCGCACGTGGAGGGTGACGGAGCCGTCCGGCCCACAGTACCGTCCTGAGCCGGTGCCGCGGTGGAAGCTGTTACAGCTGCATCACTTCACAGAGAGCTCAGTAAACAGATGTCAACAGCTGGTTTCTTTCTGCCATCAGTCCACGAGGCGACGTCATGCCGCTCGCCTCGTGTCGTTAATGACATCAAAATAAACAGGAGCTAAACTGAGCGTGACTGTTGAAGGAGCACACGCACCACCTTGTGTAACGCTCTGCCTGTTTTCATGGTTTATTTTGAAAGGACTGCCAAGTTTCATGGTTTATTTTGAAAGGACTGCCAAGTGGAGACCAGGGTTCTGAGTTCTGCAGAACACGCCTCCTGCTCACATGATCATCGGAGCAGAATTAGCATCAAACGAAATCACTGCCAACAAACACGAAGAGCGTTTGAATTCACAACGTGCACTCTGACCCAACATCCTGTTGACACAGTCACGATCAAACGATGGTACAACCGTTAACGACTCTTCAGTTCAGATTCACCCCAAAATGTGTAAAAACTCATTTTTGTGAAAATAAACACGTTTAAGACTCGTTTTAAAGACACTGTCTTCTCTTGTGGTGCACGTTTTTTAAGTATGTAAGAAGGTACGTGAATAAATATACATAAATATTAGGCCTGTCACGATAACAAATGTTGCTGGGCGATTAATTGTCTCAGAAATTATTGAGATAAACGATAATATCGTTTGAAATTTGACAATAATTAGTAATTAGTCAAATTTAAGAAGAAATGTTGGTTAATTTTTGAGTATAGTAACTTTATTGATCACCTGATAGCAGTATAAGACAGTTTGAATGAAGGATGGATAGAGAGGGAGCGAGCAGCGTGTCTCTAAGATAAATGGGAGGGAGGCCCCTTGACGTGACATGGGCTGTCTCTCTATGGTTCTCAAAATGGCGGACGCTCGGTGTGGTTTGAGCTCTTTAGCATCTTTCACACAAAGTTTTAATAAAAATCAGTAAACAAGTTCTCGGCTTGTTTTTGTTGAAAAAACAACTTTTTACACGAAGGCACAAGTTTCAACCGTGAATTTTGGAGCTTCGACAAGACGGAGGATTTTTCCCCGAGGTTCGGCCTGTTAGCTTAGCTCGTAGCTTAGCTTCTCATCTTTAGCTGCTTTTAACGATCCAAAAACATGATTTTAGATCATTAAAACTAATTTTAAAGATAAGAGATAAAGGGAGGGGTCAGTGAAGAACCGGAGTTTTTTTATCATCCAGTGTCTTCAGCAGAAAGAGAGACATGAAGAGATGATAAAGATGATCAATTAGAATGAGGATCATTTTCATTTATCATGAGATTCATTGATTTATTGTTCATCGCGACAGGTCTAATAAATATATACATATAATACATGGTAAAATATTGTTAGGAACTAGAAGAGTTCCATCTTTAGCTTGATCAGTACCTCTCAGGGTAAAAACACACAGTTATAGATTTTATTAGAGTTCTTGTACAAGTTAAGACAGTTTTGTCATTTTGGGTCAACGAATCTCTGCATCACAGTGAAACCAACAGTTTGTTGCTTTCAAGAGAATAAAACTGATAAATACGGTGGCTGTCCTCAACGCCACGTCTTCTTACACTTTACCTGCTCGTTATTTCTGCGTGAAGATTTTAGAAATGTGCTCAACTGGATACACAGAAACCAAAACAACTGCGTGCGCTCCTAACAGCACCTTCTCTGTCTTCAGGTTTTACTTGAACTACGTTTCCATCGCTCCAAACGCAGCTGGCGCCTGGAACAGAAGCTTCAGACGTGAGCGTGAGATGGAAGAGGTGGCTTCATGAAACCAGTTGCAGCCTCTACAACCACAGCTTCCTGTCTCACCACGACGTGCTCATTGAACCCACAGAACGCAGAGACTCGTCTCCCAAGTTACTCTGAGGTATAAACTAATGATATGAAAGAACAATATTAAAGAGTGATTTCAATAGAACATAAAGAAAATTATATTTGAATGTGGGGCCACACAAACAAAACAAATGGATATTTGAACTAACACAGATTTGGTGGCTGTAAATTTCACCAACACTTAATGAACATCCATGAGACCTGCACACAAAGAAAAGACATCCAACCATCATCCAACCACCATCCAACCATCATCTTGTTCTGGACTCAGGTCTTGGGGCAGCATCTTGAGCAGGGAGGTCCAGACATCTCTCTCCACAGCCATCTCTTCCAGATCTTCTGGGAGGACTCCAAGATGTTCCCAGACCAACAGAGAGACTTGGTCTCTCCAGCGTGTCCTGGGTTTTCCCCGGGGTCTCCTCCCAGTCAGACATGCCTGATGCACCTCCTTAGGGAGGCGTCCAGGGAGCATCCTTACCAGATGAACCACCTCAACGGTCTCCTCTGGATGTGGAGGAGCAGTGGTTCTACTCCGAGTCTCTCCTGATGATTGAACTTCTCACTCTGTCTCTGAGGGAGAGTCCAGCTCTGCAGAGGAAACTCATTTCAACCTCCTGGATCCACAATCTCATTCTTTCAGTCTCTACCAGAGTTCATGACCAGAGGTGAGGGGAGGAACGTAGACCGACCAGTAAACAGAGAGCTTTGTCTTACAGCTCAGCTCCATCTTCACCACAACGGACCGGCACAGAGTCCACAATACTGCAGACACTGCACTAATCTGTCAGTCTCACGCTCCATTCTTCACTCACTCATGAACAAAACCCAGAGAAACTGGACCTGAAGAGAACAATCCACCCTTTTCCGGTTGAGGACCATGGTCTCAGGTCTGGAGGTGCTGGTTCTCATCCCAGCTGCTTCACACTCGACTGTGAACCTCTCCGGTGAGAGCTGGAGATCACGGCACGATGGCACCAACAGGACCACATCATCTGCAAAGAGCAGAGATGAATCCTGAGGCCTCTGAACCGGACTCCCTCCACCCCCTGGCTGCACCGAGAAGTTCTGTCCATGAAAGTTCTGAACAGAATCTGTGACAACGAGCAGCCCTAGAGGGGTCCGAGTCGTCCGACTTACTGCCGGCAATGGGAACCAAACTCTCACACCGCTTGTAGGGACTGAACAGCTCGTAACAACACGCACCCCCCAGTGTACCCCGAGGAACACGGTCCAACACCTTCTCCAAGTCCACAAAACACGTGTAGACTGGATGGACAAACTCCCATGACCCCTCCAGGACCCTAGTGAGGGTAAAGAGCTGGTCCAGTGTTCCAGGGCCGGGACAGAACCCACAAAGAAAACCAAGTGTTTCAGGTTTGAAAAAGCTACTTTGTTATAAAGCAAAGAACAAACAATGCAACTCCAGTAACGTGCACGCTGCTGCACAGATACTGAGACTGCATGAGAGCAGCAACCACAGTCGGGTCATGAACCAAGGTGGACTTTCCCATCATCGTTGGAGACTAATCGAGACCAAAACCATGGACCACTAAACCACTAAGCCTCTGCGCTGAGTGCAGAGCAATAAGCAACAAGTACTTTAACAGAGGTGCACACGTGCACACGCCCCGGTAACTGAAGCACATCTGAATCTGTCAACGTACAAAGAAGCAGCAAAACGTCATAAATGGGTTTTGTACCTGCAGAGACTGCCTCGTACGGTGGGGGCATTTCCAGCTGGGGGTAGGACACGGCCGGTGGCAGAGCTGTGGAGGGTTCCTCCATGGACACATCGTCCTGGACGCCATACCAACTGGGCCACACCGACGTTTGCTACAGAGGAGAAGAAGAAGGACAGAAATACAGACGTGCACGTATGTTTTCACATGGACAGCGTGGTGACTCCATTTGTAAAGAAGTCATTTTAAATCAAAACCTCTGAATCAACAATTAAATGAAAGTTTGACTTTAAAAAGATCAAAAGCTCTCAGTGGTTTTTACAGTGAAGGTCACGTGTGGATTTAGTTCCTGAAAAATGGACCAACGGGTCGGGACGAACACAAATCTAATGTTTGTTATTTTAAAACATCTGGAGGACGAAGATGGACGCAGCCCGCGTGATGAACAACGAGCAGGTGTCTCTAAACCGTCGGGAAGATTTTAGTTGTTGTTAAATGTGTGGAACATACGGGCAGGAAGATCATCCCAGACCTCCAGGAGCCTCAGACGACCAGTCTGTGTCGGCACAGAGCTGCTGGGTTTACTGGTCAGAGCTGCTGGGTGTACTGGTCAGAGCTGCTGGGTTTACTGGTCAGAGCTGCTGGGTTTACTGGACAGAGCTGCTGGGTTTACTGGTCAGAGCTGCTGGGTTTACTGGTCAGAGCTGCTGGGTGTACTGGTCAGAGCTGCTGGGTTTACTGGTCAGAGCTGCTGGGTTTACTGGACAGAGCTGCTGGGTTTACTGGACAGGGCTGCTGGGTTTACTGGTCAGAGCTGCTGGGTTTACTGGTCAGAGCTGCTGGGTTTACTGGTCAGAGCTGCTGGGTTTACTGGTCAGAGCTGCTGGGTTTACTGGACAGAGCTGCTGGGTTTACTGGTCAGAGCTGCTGGGTTTACTGGCAGACTGACGCCCTTAAAGAGATTTAATTACCTTCGTGTTCAAGTGGGCGTCACAGGAAACAAAAGGACTCACCGCATCACAAAACGATGAATTTAAAACATCAATGATTAAAGTCACGATCATTTCCTAAATCAATTTAAATCTTGAAATTAAAGTTATCAGATTATATGCCCCGCTGCTCATCCTTGATATTAACACTTTAAAATTCAATTCAAAAATACTTTATTAATCCCAGAGGGAAACTATTTGTTGTTGTAGCTCGTGATCCTGGTTTCATTAAGACGTTCTAGATGCTGATGCTGCAGACAGGAAGGAAACCAAAAGAGTTCATGTACAACCTGTGACTGAGGATCCAGAACAAGCAGGAGACAGACTCTGAGTTATGAACATATAGATATAAATATAGATATAAAATGTCTGGTGATGCAGAGTCAACGTCAAACTAGACAAACGGTTCAGATAAGACACAGAATATTAAAACCCAAAGCTGGAAGCGTTCACAGCGTTTTGCTTTAACAGACAATGAATTTCCTGAGAACAAAAACTCCAAACAAGCCTCAAAACATCAACGACCGTTCCTTTAAAATGAAACTGCACAGAGCGGAAAGAAAGGACACGATCCATTTTCTGTAGAACCATCTCAGCACGCTGGTTCTTCAAAGCATCTTTTACTAAACGAGTGGATGGATGGAGGAGGCAGAAATGACTAGAAGGTTTTAGATCATCTAAAAAAGTGAAGGTTCAGAGAAGCAGCACAAAAAAAACACCTCGAAACTTGAACTGACAAACAGAGAGAGCTGTTCGTGAAACATCACCCAAATCATTACACAAATTAAAAAACAGATTTAACACGCCTTCAAAATACCGTACAAGTCTCACCCGTCCAAAAATGTCTAACAAAGTGGAAAAATCCATAATTAAGTCGCTTCGACAAATAAGTCACATCTATTATACGTCACCGCTGACAACCTGGAAATGTGTTGCGCCAAAAATTGATTGGCTGCCACGAGAAAACGTTTTGTCTTTTATCCAAAGGACTTCTTCAATCTGAGGTGCTGTATTCAGCTCAGTCTCTTAAATATCACCTTCTCAGGGTGGATCAACCAGTTTGCTGCTGACAACTAGAACCAGCTGATCACATGATCAAGAAGGACCATCAGCCTAACAATGGGTCATTAGCACCTGATGGCTGTTTACTGTTCACAGAGGGCTGAGTGATACTAGCAATCACAGCATTGTAAGAGGGGGACAGTTGAACCCGGAGGCTCCACCCCTGTTTAATGATGGACGGTTTCTTTTCACAAAGATGGCCTCCTTTACTCCTCTCTCAAACCATCGTTCCTCTCTGTCCAGGATGTGAACATCTTCATCCCTGAAAGAGTGACCTCTGGCCTGGAGATGAGTGTAGACCTCAGAGTCCTGGCCTGATGATGTTGATCTTCTGTGCTGGTCCATCCTTTTGGCCAGTGGCTGTTTAGTTTCCCCGATGTAAGACTGATCACCCTCCTGACACTGAACAACATACACAACATGGCAGACTGGTTTTCTTGGACTGTGAGGTCTCAGTTTCTGATGGAGGACATTTTAAACTGAGGTGAACCACAAACCCCCCCACACAGACCAGTATTTGCAGTTTGACTCCCATCACCCTTTGGATCAATGTGGATATCCTAACTGGGCCTTCCTGAAAGCAGAGAAGAAACCCAAACAGGACTCCAGTCAGCCATCAGGTGAAAAGGAGGAACCCAGACCCAGACCAGTGGTCATTCCATATGTTGAGGGAGTATCAGAGAAACTGAGACGTTTATTTTCTAAACATAACGTCCCAGTGGCTTTTAAACCCCAAAATACATTAAAGACTGGTTCATCCCAAAGATCCAGTCCCCCGGCACAAACAGAGTAATGTTGTGTGTTTTAGATAAAAGACTAAACGTTTCATCGTAGAGGAATCTGTCCAGAGGACCTGACTCCACCTTGTGAGATTAAACCTGTGCCTCAAATAATTCAGGCAAAGTGCAACCTGGCAACACAAAGGTGTTCTTGAAGTGGTGCGTGCACTCACGCTTTGTCTCTCACACGTCTGATGAAGGTACGCCCTTCCTCCGACAATCACTATCTGTGCATTGCGTGTGTTGCTCAGGTACGCAGCCAGCTGCCTCTGTCTTGACCGGTACCAGCACACGTAGAAGAATATCTTTATGACGATGAAGACGATCACAACTCTGTGGAACAAAATGGAAGGAAACTGAATAGATGACATAATCTGGTGCAGAAGTCTAAACACTTTCATTCTGGGTTTAGCTTCCAAAGATACAGATGTTCTTGTAGCAATTTAAAGTTTTCTTTAGACTTTGTCACTTTGTACTTCAGCTGATAAACAGTATTTTAAATAATAAGAGTATTTTTTCCATAAAGCAGCAGAACAAAAATCATGAATAGTGTATTGGTAGTACTCACATGTACCAGTAGAGCTCCATTTGGTGAGACGTGTTTATAACTGGGAGAGGCTCATTACTGGAAGATTACTTTGTTTCCCTGAAGACGGGAACATTTTTTAAAGTTACCAACAAAAAGATACAAGCGGACACTTTACATGCCCTCAGCAAAAAGTAGTTTATTCAAGTGTACTACGAGTATATTTTACACTAAAAATTAGGAAGTGTACTTGAAGTTTCCTTTTTATTAACTTTTTTGATCTACTAAAAATAGTATAGTGAAATATACTTGGCTAATACTGAAAATTATAAAGAGAAGTCTAAGACTAAGTACTTTAATACTAAAGATTATACTTGTACTTTAGTTTTTGCTACTCTTTATTTCTTTATTATTTTTATTATATTTTATTTCTCTTTATTCATGAAAGTGTACTTAAAGTATACTTAAACTGAAATGTGGACTAGAAGTATATAACTAGTGCAATGGTAGTATAGAGAAAAGTATATACTTGTGGTATACTTTAAATGTACTTCAACAAACTAAAACGTGACCCACAAGTATATACGTAGTACACTAGTAGTATATAGATGAGAGTACTTAATGTATAATTTGGTAAACTTGAAAAAAAGACCTTACATTATACTTGACCTTACATTATACTTGAAGTATACTTTTTATAAACTAAAAATGTCCCAATCTAGTCCGAACAAGTATTAATTCAGTACTTTTACTTGATGTACTTATACTTAACTTAAAGTATACTTGCAGAAATGAACTTGAAATGTACTGTTTTTGTTCAGGGTCGTGTATATTCAGAGAAAATCTTCTAAACGTACAAGCCCAACAACTTTTAGCACCAAGCCCTAATCCGTCAGAGTAGCTAGAGATTAGCTGAAGCTAACAGCTGTAAAACAAAACTTACTTTGAACGCGACAAAAGGGCCCAAAGCAGCTGGTTAACACCACGAGACATTTCTGGACGGCTTCCGCTGAAACGGAGGACTTCCTGCTGAGAACACCACACTGCGGCTAGTTTAGCTAGTTTACAGCTAGTTGGAGCTAGTTTTAGCAAAACACGGAAACGGACTGGTTTTACAGACGGACTGCTTTTACAGACGGACTGGTTTTACAGACGGACTGATTTTACAGACGGACTGGTTTTACAGATGTTCCGGTTCGTTAACTTTAAGAAACAACTCGTCTAGCGGAGTTGAAGCTAACACACACAGACAGACTCCACTTGGAAATGTTAGCCCTCGCGCGGTGTGCTCGTGCACGCAAACACCATGACTGTGTTTTCAAAATAAAAGCTGATAACCGTCTGTTGGGACGTCGACGTCGCGGCCATATTGGATGTGGCACAAGTGGAGCGATGATGCATTTTTTTTCATTCAACCTTTATTTAAACAGGTAAATCCCAGGGCTCTGGTCTTCTGATACCTTCGTCCAATCAGGTGCGGCCCTTGAGAAACGCCCTCCGTGTGTCTGCAGATACCTTCTTGTTTCCATCAGCTTTTATGGGTCGACATGTGGTTGTTACACTTCCTGCCAGCAGAGGGCGCCACAGGCCTGCGTGAAATAAACAGATTTCATTTGATTAGTTTTGGATTAAATGGTTCAAGACTTCAGCCTAGTCCCAGACCACAGTGCTGGTGGAGCTGGTTTAACTCTAAGACCTGCACAGCCTGATCTTAAAATAGTCTCAGATTTAGTCTGTTCTGGATTACAGCCAGTTTTCAAAGAGGCAGCTGTAACTTCTGCTTCATATAGTTTGTGAAAGGGAGCACGGACAGTTTGGCAGCATGGAGTCTTCAGAACATCTAAACAAAGACTAATGTGCACCATGGAGGTCAGCCAGAGGAGCACCTGTGGACAGGAGTCATCCAGTGAACCTCTTAGACGAAATAACGTCACGAGAACGCTTTTGTTCGTACAAAGAAAATTAACTGAGGCAATGACTGTGTTTGAGCCTGGACTGCCCTCTCTGAACCAGAGGAAGACCTGCACCCAGTTCTGATCACTTTGAGGCTCCTCACGAGTCTGAGTGGTGCCGTGAAGCGTCGGTAGAACAGTCCAGAGCCTGCTGGGCCTTTTGCCAGCAGAGAAGATGAACATCAAATCTTTCACGTTCATTCTTCTTTTTTCCAAACAAACTAAACCACAACTACATCCAGGTACGTTTGAACAAAGAGTCAGTATTGTGATAGTCTCAAGGTTAATTCAACCGCTTGTCAGCAACTTGAGTTCAGGTCACAAGGAACAAAGAGCAGGATCATTTTGATTGTGGAACATGTCACAGGTACAACCAGCCTGTCCGTCTGGGTTTGTGCTTCAGTTCATGAAGTCGGCTGTTTTCCAACAGTTCCAACAAACAACTCCAGTCAGTGACAGTTACACACCAAGACACCACTGGAACTCTAACCTCAGACAAACATTCACTCCTCTTCCTCTGTTTAACGTCTACATGCAGTTATTTACACCTGTACTCTTCTGACCTACCTTCACACGTCTCATCGTTTCTTGATGCTGGACCAGGATCCCTGTAAGTTCCCTGAACTTCCTACCAGTCCCAGACTGTTCCTTTGAACCAGTATTGATATTGATAAGCCCCATGTGACTTTTCTTTAGTGAAAGTCCCTTCGTGACTTCCATACAACAACATCTAAAATCAGCATCAGTGCAAGAAATAAACGCCTCAGGTAACACCGTGAGCTTCACCACCTCCACTGATATCTTTGTTAGTTTGTCTGAGGTCACCTCACCCTGGGTTACTTTTCCTCGTGGGCGGAGCCATCTTACAATTCACATAAAATATTTGATAATGTTCTTATAGATGGCAGCACGGTGGCACAGTGGGTAGAGCTGCTGCCTCTCAGCGAGCAGGACCCTGGTTCAAACCCCGGTCCAGGGGACTTTCTGGGTGGAGTCTGCATGTTCTCTCTGTTCTGCGTGGGTTTCCTCTTGGTGCTCCAGTTTCCTCCCACAGACCAAAAACATGCATGTTAGACGGACTGTAACTCTAAATTGTCCCTAGGTGAGAGAGAGAGAGAGAGAGAGAGAGAGAGAGAGAGGTTGTTTGTCTCTATGTCCCTGTGATGGACTTGCAACCCGTCCAGGGAGTCCCCCGCCTCTCCTACAGTGACGGCTGGACATGGACACCAGCGACCCCCACGACCCGAAAAGGAAGAAGCAGGTAAAAGATAATGGATGTTCTGATAGAAACAGTTCTTGAATGTTGTTCATACTGTGTTAATGCTACATGTTTGTCTCTTGACTACAACTTGGTAAGATTACAGTAGACCTAGCCCACTACAGAAGTTTTAATTAGGTATTTTAAACTATTAATAAACACAATGGATGATGATCATATTGCTTTATGCTCGGCCATTAGTAAGAAGGAGTGATTATTATTATTATTATAGTTTCATGTTGGCTAGTGGTTTTTTCCCTAAAACTTGGGCTACACTGTGTTTCTTAGACTGTAGCTAGGATGCGTGAGAGAAGCAGAGCGTGCTCTACTCACACAAGGAGAGCTGTTGGTCAGGTTACTTCTTGTTGTGCCATTAACTCTAAAATAGTTAATCAAGTGTTACTTGCGTAGGTAAAACTAGATGTTCAACAACCCGTTAAAATACACCAGAACGCAGGAAATGGCATCTACTTTATTAAAAAAACTTCCACCAGAGCTTTTCTATTTAAAGTTTAATATTTTGATCTCGACTTTTGGCGTTTAGTTTATCATCAAACTTAGCTGTACTGTGTTGGTTGTTTTAGTTAGTAATTATATTCTGTTCAGTTACCCCTCATGTGTCTTACTGGTCTGATCAGCCAGTATATACACCAGTGTGTCATTCTTTGAGGTCAGTTATGTTTGTTCGTATTTTTGTCCGAGTTCAGTTTTGTTCCTTTGAGCTCTTTTATGAGCTCAGCAGTCATTTTGGGAAAATATAATATTTGGGGATAAAATAAAAAACTTATTTTTCTAATACTTCCTGTGACTTCTCTCGTTTTTCAACTCGGTCCTTCACAGATGCAAGAGCCGTTGTCAGCACTGGGGGGTAAGCACCCCTAAAGAGCAGATTCTAGACTCGCCCCTGATGTAAAGTTATAATTACGTGATTTTAATAATAGGTCATGATGATCTGAAGTGGGCCGGTCTGAGGCAGGAAACTCAGTCCCACTCTGGCCCTACTCGATGGCAGGAGAAGATTTTTAATCAGGATTTTACGTGCAAGCTCAGATTTTCAGGACAGGTTATAGACATTTCCATAAAGTACAAACATGAAGAGCGGTCAGGAGAATCTGCATCAAGCTGCCTTGTCGGCTTGCTTTTATATCCTTATCAGTTCAGTTGAGTTCACGGAGATCAGGAGGTGTCACCCAGCTGTCTCTGCTAACACAAACATATGGTTCATGGGCAGAGATAAGATTCTCAGCCATAGTAAAAAAAACATCCATGACCTTCGACCAAAAATTCTCTGGCACTGATGAAAAAGAAATTCAAAAATAATAATGTTTAGGTTAATTCTGCTTTGAATCAGAAATCAAACAAAAACCGTTTGACGTCCTCGTGTAGTTTGAGGGTCTTCATCAGTGTCCTGTTGCTATGGCGACAGCAAACACAGAGCCAAGTGTCCAGGAGAACAGCAAGTCTTGAACTGAGACGCTTTCGTTCTGGAATAAAAACCTCCTCCGATCGACACAGGTGAGATGTTGAAGAGAAAAGGTGACATCACTTCCTGTTTGTAGTTCTGGTGGTTTCCGTCAGCTTCCTCTCGTCTCTCCTGGCGTTTGTTCCTCACCCGTTTCTTTTTTAATTCATCGGCTCCTTCAGGTTTAACTTCACTCTCTAGTTAGAGGAGGAGGCCGACACCAGGCTCTGACTGCTCGACTGGTCACCTGACGTCTGAATCTCAGGAGACAAACCTTCAGCCTGTTAGTAAAACTGCACCGATGCTCCGAGAGTTCAGTGACATCAAAAGAAATGAAAAAGAAAACGATGCAGAACAAACGACACCACGTCAGGTTCAGTATTAAACTTTTGCTG